TAAGTGTTCGAAAGTTCAGAACAATAAATCAATTGATCTGGTGCTCGACCTGTCTTCTTCCTCATCGATGCACGTACCTGGATCGCGAAACCTCGCATTCATTCGGGAACATATGATCTCCTCGCAGACGGTCATTTCAAAGCTCCGTAATCGAAAACCGGGCCCCATGCGGCACGAGACGTTATTCCATACTTTGCAACTTTATAACAGCACGTACCTTAGGTGGCGTACATCAAGAATCATTTACCAAAATTCTGTAAAGTTCGGTTAGACAAAATCACTTAGGTGGGTGGCACTATCCCAAGATATTTCGGTCTCGTCAGTAACGTAGGTTTTAAGTAAAAGTTCTCATTGATGAGTGCTCAGTGATCGCTTACGATGTTCACTCACGTGGCTTTGCCTTGAGATTCATTCTCGAGCCCCGCCGACAGCCGCACAGTGTCTCGTAGTTTACGCAGATGAACACTGCTTGCGAGGACAAGGGAGGCCGGAATGGTCGTTCCTGGCTCATCAACCCTCATCGGCTAGTCATACACAATCTCAAGTGGTGCACTGCCCGACACTAGAACCCGTTTCGCGGCTGCTGATGGGACTCGAGTGTGATCTCCAGGACAGAACAGGATGAAGAAACAGGACCGCAACGCAACGAGCCTGTGGCGCTGTGGTTAGAGCATTTAACCTCTAGCGAATAAGTTTCGGGTTAGAGCATCGAATGATGCACCACATGAGGTTTGGGTAGGGCTGGCTGATGACGCCTAATGAGCCAGAAATAGCTATTCCAGTCTCCTTTTTCTCTGTCAGCCATGCTCACCTTCCTAAACGAGTCTTTCTCATTTGGCGCAAATTACACGAATCAAGAGTGACTACATATGTAATCCATTTTCGTCTTCAGTTATTTCCGGCAGACTTATATATCCAAACATATTTCACATGAAGCATTCGGAAAATATCCTTTCTTGTGTTCAGTTGGTGGAACATTTTGTCTGTTAATAGTCTCCAACTTGACAAAAATATATATTTTGGGTTACTAAATGTTCCTTAATGATCCATTAGTTTATGCATTTGCCAATATACATAGTCGACACGTGCTAATTAAATGAACCATAAATTCCACTTTAGTGCTTAAGGCCTCTCATGCACACTTCATAAAACTATTCTATGAATATGACCCGCGTTTTTACTTCGCACGGCATTGTAAGCATCATTTGCAATGGTACTCCTCTGTCCTAAAATGCCCAGAATGACAAAGGTCTTTTAAAACGAATGTACCGATTTTTTGACCGTTAAATTTTAGAAAGGTTTAATTTCCTTCAAAATGAATATAAAAAATAAAGTGTTATAATACCTTGATAAAATGGTTTACATGTCAAGCGAATTTGATTTTGTAGTGGAGGAAGGCGACTGGTGACAAATGGGAATTCAGGTGGTAATGCGATATTCTGTGGCTATAGGGCGCGATAGTTAATATTACCACCCGTACTAAATAGAACCCTCTTCCCGAAACAAAATTAAAAAGTTGATTTATGCTTCATGAGCTAAGCCAGGGCGCAGTATTAACATCTGTCAATACTTCATGGAGTTCTGTCAATTTTTTGTTTGTTCTTTTTATCAAGAACGTGCTAGGAAAGCATGAGGCCGATCCTAAATGCAACTATCTACCCTACGTTATGATATCACGTTTCCCTATTTTCTAAAAACGAATGCGGTGTTCCTCATTTGGAAATGGTCGACGTGTCTTGCGCCGTCCCTGTTTAAAAGTAGTACTAGTTGAGGATTTGTGCAACAAACCTAAACAGATACGGATCAGAAGGCCACAAACTACTACTGATCAAATTTGGTGCCTACGATTTTCCTAATCCGTTTGCCTTTCTGAACTATTTACCGTAGTCGTGAGTACACTTTACTCTATTTCAAATGTGTAGATGGCAAAAACAGAAGGATTTATTGGATCCATGACCATGCCCTGTGATCTTTTTGACCTTACTATACCAATTCAGTTTTGTATTTTTCGCATTCGTTACTCTTATCATGCATTGAGAGGAGGCAGCTGAATAGCTCTCCCGAAATTTCATAGATCCAATAAATCCTGCTGTTTTTGCCATCTACAAATTTACACCTGAGAAACTTTAAATTTCTGTTTCAAGTCTTAATTACTTCTCGATAAGAGCTGAAAACTCATGCTGCGACCTCATGCGCCTGTTAACTGTTCCTTTTGACCTCAAATAGTAATCGATAAAATTACTTAGTACTTTAATACCCACCTCATAACCGGCGTACGTAGCAGTTGTTGATGTCTGTTTATCTAGACCACCTAGCAGCTGTGGCCTAGCGCTCAGGACTACAATTGCCTTTTAGTGGAACACCTGAGTAAAATGTGAGTGTCTGGATATGCAAAAAATGTGATGCTGATTGACAAGCAAATGCCCTGGGAGAGGGAGGGGCGACTGACTTACTGATTTGTCTGTGATGGGGCATTAATATCACCGATGGTTGTCAGTGTCAGGGTGGCCCAGTAGAAGGACTGCAGGTATTTCATACTCAGGGACCTCAGCACGGGGGTGTTTGGAGCGGGGTAACCCCAATCCTCCTCAAATCCATCGTACTCAGAAATGAGATAGTAGAAGGAAGCAAACCAGTGGCAACCCAGGAAGAGGATATGTATCAGGGTAAACACTCGCCAGGCATTGGGGTAGGAGGTGCGATTTTCAACCATCACCTTCCAGTCCCAAGCACGCCCACACTTTAGGAAGCGAGGAAACCGCAGCAGCGGTTGTACACCGATGAACAGCTGTATAAGATCCAACGGCAATAGAGCCAAAAAGTCCAGAAAGAAGGCTTTCGTCCACACGTAGTGTTGAGCAATTTTGCGTGAATTCTTCACAACCAGACCCTTTTCCAGGTAACTGGTTCTGAACTGAACCACAATGTCCATCACGTAGATGAAATCAGCCAGCCCATCTATAATGATCCACACCAAGGCCCGGCCGACTTGAACTTCTTCCGCGAACGCCTGGCGCAGTATAGTTGACCAGAGGTTGTACACCGTCGCCAGCGTTACAATACCAAGCCACATGAAAAGGAAACTGCCCTGGGGACTGATGATACAGTCTGT